GTATAGCATATTTTTAACAGAACCCATATAAATACAAGTTTCAATCTTTGTGCAATAAAAAAAAATTTATAGTATTTGCATACCCATTGTTGTAATTTTTAATTTAAGAGATTTACATGCCTTTTTATTCTATAAATAATCTTGTGCAAGCCTAAAAAAGGAATTATGATTGAAGATTAAAAAAAGTTTTTTTTTTTTAATTTGTTTTCAAATTTCTCGTTTGAGGTAATATATTTTAACCGAAATTTTTTTCTAACGCTGGGGGGCGGGTATCGCCCCCATCGCCCCTCCCCTGTGTCGGCCACTGTACACATGTAATCATAAGTGGGCGTGGTTACATTTCCATAAAGTTTGACAACTATTCAGGTTGAAAGAAATCAAAATCTAACATGATGAAGTTAATAAAAATAAATAAAAAAATAAAAAATGCGATTTTTTAATTTATTTTAATCTATCTCACACTCTCATGGAAAGCCGAGGTAATTACGCACATTTTGATACCTTAACTGATTTTCTCCGACAAATAGTTTATTAACTGCAAACAATTGAAAAAAGATACTTCTCCGTGAGTTCAAAATTTCGTGAATTTTTTTTCGAGATCTTGGAATGCCATGACGAAATAAAAAATAGGTGTCTTCTTTTTTCCGATAAAGAAAAAAAAAAGATAAAAAAATATACATATGTCACGCCAAAAAAAAATATTGAGGTGTAAATATTGTATGGAATGACCCATATGTATAATTAGTTTAGTTAACGCGTGGAACAAAGTACCTAAAAAGTTTATTCCGATATTGATGTGCGCATTAATTTCTTGCCATTATTTTACGTACAACATTTTAAGTTTTTATTAATATTTTAACTTTTTAAGTTATCTATTAATATGTATATGCATATGATGCGATGTTTTGTACTTAAATATTATTTTTTTTGAACTTAAGTCTTTCACTTTGGTTAAAAACTTTGCTTAAGCAATTTTCTACAATGACTCAACAATGAAAGCACAGGTAGCCTTACATTCATTACACACACCCAGGACCAGCAACAGCAAACAAAAGCTTACACAAAAAGCTTGAACGATGCCAGCGTCAATTAGTCCTTGTACACCAGAAACAAAGTCACCACCATGTGGTAGGATGGCCGTTCATACACCAAATTTGTGAAGTTATCCATTTTTTCATCCAATAAATGGCGCATGCGGAAGCTGAGGCCTTGATTTTGCTTTTCAACAATTGATAACAAGCAAACTATGCGGTGCCTAAGAAATAGAAAAAGGAGAATATTTAATAAATTGAGTAAATTTAAGCACTTTAAGTTTTTCATTAAATAAATCAAGCATTAGTTTTAAATATACAGTGAAACTCGCTTAAGTACCGCTGTCAGCTGATTAGTGTTTTTTTTTCTATACAAAAAATATATTCTATCAACATTTAATGATTTTTGCTCAATCATATCGCTCATTTACTTATAAAAAATGGTAAAAATAATTATTATCTTTCAATATTTTCTACTTAGTTTGCGCTTGTAATTTAGATTTGCAGAAGACGACCGAATACTGTTGTTTACATAAATAATAAATAATTAAAAAATGACGATTTTGGTAAAAAGACGAAGTAACATTTTAAAATTATTAATAAATTTTTATTTTAACTCTTCAATAAGTTTATAATAAACCTCATGCAATTTCAATTCCTTTGTAGGGCTCGGTACAACTCAGTTGTTACAATAAAAAAAAATAAATAAAAAGTTCAACAAGCAAAGTAAAACGAGACACTTTTAAAACAATAACTCAAATCTTCCTTAAGTCAATTAAGTTTACATTGTATTGCAATTTAAAATGCTACTTATTATTAAAAACATTTCATATGTTTGCATTATTTGTCGAAAAAATTTGCGCAGATAAAAAAGCTACTTCAAGCTTAATTTCTTCAAAAAAGGCGCTGAGGTAACCACCTAAATAAAATGGACAGGTAATTTTACTTGTTTATTACAAATTTTCTATTTTAAATTAAATCATGTTTACGCTATTAACAAACGTCTCGGATTTTCAGCAAAATTTCCGATTAGTCCCTCCTGAATCATCTCGCGGCTATTAAACGATCGCTCCACTGTCGTTTTTGTGCAAGGAAAAGCACTAATAATGGAAATACACCTATTTGTCACTGGTAGAAATTCATTTGCTTCTTTACACAGACCTAAAACTTCAACATCAAGATCATAGATTTATTCAAAATGAAATTTTTATAACATATTTGAAAACTTACACTTTTAAAACTAACAAGTCAAACAGTCTAAGTTCGGGCGAAGCCGAACATTAGTTACCCCGAGCAAGTTTAAAATATAGTTTTTCTCACCTTTCCGAAAGCTGCTGCTACATGGTAAGCAGGGGTGGTTTTACCCCTATTTTAAAAATTTTCGATAGAACGTTCAGTTAGACATAATGAGATAAACTTATATAGTCATATGTGGGCGGTATCACGCTCATTTTCCAAAATTCCTAATAATGTTACTTATTTTCAAGAGATTGTTGTTAGTATCAATTTTGTGTAAATTATAGGGAATTTACATGATTCAACTTTCACACGCGATTAGTTGAACCAAAAGTTGAATGAAAGTAGGCAGCCGACCAACTTCATTGAAGCGATTAGTTGAAAGGCCCTTTACCCCAGGCGATTGTTGCATTCAACTAAAAATCGCCTGAAAAATCGCCTCATGTAAATTCCGTATTAGCGTCCTTAAATTTTAAAATATCGAAGCTTCAAGCATTTCTCAAATTTACCGTTACATAAAAAGTTTTCCAAAAATTTATATTCTTATTTTCTTTCTAACAATTATTGTAAATATCAATTTTGAGTGAATAAGCTTCAGTAGTTATCAAAATATCGCAGTTTTCGTATTTTTGAAAACTACCGCTATATTGTAGGAAGGCGTGGTTATTGTCCGTTTTTTCAATACCTGCGCTAAAAAGAAGTACACATACTAAGTTTCGTTAAGATATCTCAATTTTTACTCGAGGTATCGTGTGCAAAGGCGTAGAGACAACGGACGGACGGACAGACAGTCACCGCTTAATCGATTTCTTTTTTCATTGTGATAATTTACGTATACATTTGCCTGTTACAAACAACCGTTATGTGAACAAAGTTATAATACCCGTTTGCACCAGTGCGCCCGGGTATGAAAATAAATATATATAAATATATATATATTTTAGAATTTCATTTGAAAATGCTCATTTGCAATTAACAAACGATCCGATTTTAAAACGCGTGTATTAAAAAAAACATCGATGTTAGAAGTTGAATTGAATATAAATATTCGTTGTCACAACTTGAATTAAAAAATGCAAAACCTATTTAAACAAAAACCTTTTTTAAATTAAGACGCTCCTTACAAATTTGTAAACGATATCTATGTAGGATATATGTGGCGCTTAAACGATTTTGCGTTTCGTTGTATGCGTACTTAAAAGAAAGGGGTTTATTAGGTCATCTAAAAAGTAAATTTGTAGAGGGGCATCTAAAAATCTCGACTCCATCGCCATCGGTCGGCCCGATTTTTGGTAAAAGTAAATTTTATGATGCAGATCATCCGACGCCATTCGGGGTAGGCAAATAAAATTATCAAACCGTAAGAAAGATGTTTAGTTAACCATAAATTAAAGGAGACATAAACATTTTCTTATTGCCTTATGAACAAAGCAAAGTTCTAGAGAATTCTTCTTCTTCTTCTTATTTGGCGCTGTAACCGCCTAAGCGATTTTGGCCGAGTCCAAAACAGCACGCCAGTCATTTCTCTTCTGTGCTAACTGACGCCAATTGAAAATGCCAAGTGAAGCCAAGTCCTTCTCCACCTGGTCTTTCCAACGCAGAGGAGGCCTTCCTCTTCCTCTGTTCCCAGCATCGCGGCCCGCGTTGAATATTTTCAGAGCAGGAGCGTTTCTGTCCATCCGAACGACATGGCCAAGCCAGCGGAGCCGCTGAATTTTAATTCGCTGCACTATGTCTACATCGTTGTAAAGCTCATACAGCTCATCGTTAAATCGTCTGCGATATTCGCCATCACCAACGCGTAAAGGTCCGTAAATCTTTCGCAGAATCTTTCTCTCGAAAACTCCAAGAGCCGCCTCATCAGATGCTTTCATTGTCCATGCTTCCGCACCATACACCAGCACAGGCACGATGAGTGACTTATAGAGTGTGATCTTTGTACGACGAGAGAGGACTTTACTTCTCAATTGCCTACTCAGCCCAAAGTAGCACTTGTTGGCAAGAGTGATTCTCCGTTGGATTTCAAGGCTGACATTATTATTGGTGTTAATGCTGGTTCCCAAATAAACGAAGTCGTCTACTTTTTCAAACTTGTAACTGTCAACAGTGACGTGGGTGCCAAGACGCGTATGCTCTGACTGTTTGTGTGCTGACAGGAGATACTTCGTTTTGTCCTCGTTCACCACCAGACCCATTCGCTTTGCTTCTCTATCCAATCCCGAGAAGGCAGAACAGACGTAGCCCTTGTTTTTACCGATAATATCGATGTCGTCGGCATACGCCAGCAATTGTACGCTCTTATAAAGTATTGTGCCTGAGCGGTTCAGTTCTGCGGCTCTTATTATCTTCTCCAACATAAGATTAAAGAAATCACACGAAAGGGGGTCCCCTTGTCTGAAACCTCGTTTGGTATCAAACGGCTCGGAGAGGTCCTTCCCTATTCTGACGGAGCTGGTGGTATTGCTCAACGTCATTTTACACAGCCGTATTAGTTTCGCGGGGATACCAAATTCAGACATCGCGGCATAAAGGCAACTTCTCTTCGTGCTGTCGAAAGCGGCTTTGAAATCGACAAATAGATGGTGTGTGTCGATCCTATTCTCGCGGGTCTTTTCCAAGATTTGGCGTATTGTGAATACCTGATCTATGGTGGATTTTCCAGGCCTAAAGCCACACTGATAAGGTCCAATCAGCTCGTTGAGGGTGGGCTTCAGTCTTTCGCACAATACGCTCGATAAGACCTTGTAACCTATGCTTAGAAGGCTAATTCCGCGGTAGTTGGCGCGTATGGCGGGGTCGCCTTTCTTGTGGATTGGCCAGAGCACACTTAAATTCCAGTCGTCGGGCATGCGTTCATCTGACCATATTCTGCATACGAGCTGATGCATGCACCTCATCAGCTCCTCGCCGCCGTACTTGAATAGCTCGGCTGGCAGGCCGTCAGCTCCAGCAGCTTTGTTGTTTTTCAGCCGCGTAATCGCTATTCGTACCTCGTCATAGTCAGGCGGTGGGACAGCTACTCCATCATCATCGACTGGGGACTCGGGTTCGTCTCCCTCACTACTTTCAGCGCTGCTACCATTCAGTAGGTTATAAAAGTGTTCCCTCCACAATTTAAGTATATTCTGGACATCGGTCACTAGGTCGCCATTGTTGTTCTTACAGGAGTTCGCCCCGGTCTTGAAACCTTCCGTAAGTCGCCTAACCCTCTGGTAGAATTTTCGGGCATTCTTCCTGTCGGCCAGCATCTCAAGCTCTTCGCACTCACGTATTTCGGCCTCTCTCTTCTTATTGCGCCAAATACGTCTCGCTTCCTTCTTCAGTTCCCTATAACGGTCCCACATGGCTCGCGTTGCACCCGATCGCAGCGTGGCCCTGTAGGCGGCATCTTTTTTCTCTGCGGCTTCTTGACATTCCTCATCGTACCAGTTGTTCTTTCGGGCTCGCTGAAATCCAACTACTTCTTCGGCGGCGGTACTTAATGATCGGGAAATGTGGTTCCACTGCTCGCGTACGTCGGATTGTTGAAGAGTGCTCTCAGAGAGCAGGTGTGTGAGTCGAGTGGCGAATAGATTGGCCGTCTGTTGTGATTGCAGCTTTTCGACGTTAAGCTTTCCTTGCATTGTTGGGCGCACATTTTTTGCTGCACAGAGGCGGGTGCGTATCTTGGCTACAACAAGATAGTGGTCCGAGTCGATGTTTGGCCCTCGGAGTGTACGTACGTCCAAAACGCTTGAAGCATGCCTTCCGTCTATCACAACATGATCGATTTGGTTTCTCGTTTTTCGATCCGGAGACAGCCATGTAGCTTGGTGGATGTTCTTATGCTGGAACCTAGTACTACATATTACCATATTTCGGGCCCCGGCGAAGTCGATCAGCCTCAGTCCGTTATCGGACGTTTCGTCGTGGAGGCTGAATTTTCCGACAGTGGCGCCAAAGATCCCTTCCTTGCCCACCTTGGCATTAAAATCGCCAAGCACGATTT